CGGGGCCCCCCCCGCCTGTGTGCCGTGGGCCGGGGGGGGCGGGGGCTCGGGGGCCGGGCCAGCCCAGCCGCCGCCGCCGCCGCCCGGCTCCGCCTCTCCCGCCGCAGCGCTCAGTCCTGGAGCGCCGCTCGGCTGCCAGAAGGAAGCCGCCACCTGCTCCGGTGCGGAGTCGCTCCTCGCCGTGTGCCGAGAGGGAGAGCAGCCGCCCCGCCGCCCGCGCCCGGGAAGTTACCGCTGCTCCCGCCGCCGGGGGAAAGCCGCCGCTGCTTCTTCCCGGCCTCGACGAGGGAGAAGTCTCCGCCGCGCCCCGGTGCGAGAGGGAAGAGCCCCCCGCGGGCGCGCCGCCCCGCTCCGCCGCCGCCTCCCGGTCCCGCCGCGGGCAGGCGGGATGATGGAGCCTCCCGCCGCCGCCGCCTGCGCCTCCTGCCGCCGCCGCCCGCTGCCGCCCCTGCTCTGCCTCCTGCTCGCGGCGCTCTGCCTGCCCCCAGGTGAGCGCCTGCCCGCGGGAAGCGCCGGCCGCGGCCGCGCCGTCCCGGCCGCCCGTAACTTGTCGGAGGGGAGGCCGGGGCGCAGGTGACGGTGCCCCCCCCGGCCGCTCCCCGGAGCGCCCCAGCACCTACCGAGGGCTCTCTGCTCGCCGGGGGTCGCTCCCGACCGGTGGTGCCCGCCGCATCCCGCTGCGCTTCTGGAGGAGAGCGGTCCTCTCCCGCCCTCCGAGGGTGCGCCGGCTGGTGCTCCTGCGGGAAAGGCAGGAGCTGCCCCAGCGATGAGGGGGACCGAGAAGCGCCGGTCTCGTCTTTCCCCGTGGGAAGCGGCGGTGGGGTCTCTCCGGGGCGTTGTCAGCGGCCCCCGGGCAGCGCTGCCCCCGCGGGAGCGACGGCCGAGCCCCGGTGCGGTGCCGCTTCCACTTGCAGGCTGAGCGGCACGTCTGCGCAGCGAGCCGCCTGCAACTTGGGCGCTTCAGCCGCTTCTCCCCTCCGCCCCTTCAGTGCCGCCCGTGGCCTTGCCGGCAGCCCGCGGGACCGGCGGCCTGCCGTCGCTTTCCGCTGCCGGCCGGAGCCCGGGGAGCGCGGCGGGGCAGCCCCGCTGTCGGTGCCCGGCCCGTGGGGGCAGCGCTGCGTGCCTGAGGCTGCTCCGGCGGATCGGGGTCGCGTGGGGAACTTCGCTTCCCCTCCCCGCTCCGTAAAAGCACTCCTGAGTGAGGCGCTAGGGAAGTAGGAAGGCGCAGAGAGTGCTAAACATCGTAATTGTTCTGGGAATATTTTGGCTATGAGGTGTTTGTAGGCTTTGTTTTGTAAATATTGAGCGTGAAAGTGAAGTCTGAGGGAAAAGCTGTGAAGTGAGGAGTTCTACATTCAGCGCGGGGACCGTCTCATTATTCTTGTAGAAAGAGCGTCAGCCTGTGGTAAAATTTTGTATTGCTTTAAGGAATGGCTTTGCCTCTGTGTGCCTTTTCAACAACGGAGGCTTTGCAGAAGTGTTGGAGCTGGTGGTGGTTTTTCATTCCTGGCCTCTGCCGGGTTGTTACGTGCTCTCCAGTTAACCATTTACGGCCGGCAAGGTTTGGCGAAATGGAAGAGGAGAGCAGACGTTTTTCACTAGATGCATTTATGCTTGTGTTTTACAAGCTCCAAGTAGAAAACTAGCTACAACAGTAAAGCAAGGCTGCTGAATCTGTAGTTTCAAATAGAAGAGTGAAAAAGCTCCAGACAAAATCAGCAGCAATATTGGAGCCATCAGCAGTGTGTCAGGCTGTGCTGCTAGGCTTTTGCTGTAGCAAGTACAGGGTATAATCACTGTCGGACATAATAAATACCAGTCCCGGTGGCAGAGCTTACAAAGAATACCGGTTCCTGTGATGCACTGTAAGTCTTCAGGAAAGATTGTTCATTTTAGGAAATCTTGAGAGCGTGTGGATTATCAGAGGGATAAGCACCTCAGCTTCTAAGAAGCAGGACTTGGCCCCTGTGGAGAGATTTAGCCTAGTAAATACAAAACTATCTTGGTGATTGTGTGACTGTCTACATTTTCCATTTGAAGAAAATGTGAAACCATAAAATATTTTATCTCAAAGGTTGTGTTGATGGAGCTGTATAAAAAGATGGCACTTGACTATGTATGGTCTTAATAGGTTGTCAGCAAAGCCATTTAACTTGTTCTTTCTGCTCTTCACTCCTTCCTTGCCCCCTCTAGGAGAAGCCCAGGCTAACTGTAAGGAACTACATGTGGGGAGAAACCAGCCCCTCCTCATCTTAGAAACTTTCCCTGCAGTACTGAAAATGCCTGGAAAGCCCAGTAGTAGATTTAAACCTCTAGCTCTCTGTTTATTCTGAGGAATATAAAAGATACTTAGATACAAAAATACCTATAAAAAGGTACAGATGTTGCTGTAGCTTTACTGGTTCTTCCCCCTTGCTATCTCAGCTATTTTAGATGATAGTTAGTTTGCTGTCATCTAAATAAATTACGGATGTATTACTGTACCATGATTCTCGGCTTTTGGAAGTTCCATTTGAGCTTTGGATGTGGAAAGCAATAGGTGAGCTATTAAAAGTATATTAAAAGTTTATATCCTCAATTGTAAATATCTCTGGCAATATTCAAGACAGACTGGAGATCCTTATGAGAAAACTTGATTTTGTTTCTCCACAGAATGAACTGCGTAGAAAGATACCCATCTTTAAAATAGAGAGAGGCTCCAAGTACACGTTTGGCACTAAGAGACTGACTCGAGGTCAGACTAAGTGAGAACACCGATTATAATCTCATACATCTCTAGCGGAAATGGCTGTGTGTGAAAGGAAAGTCAACTCTTAATCAGGAGCTAATCATGATCTTTTCCTCTCCCCCTGCTTTCTGGTGGATTATAACAATGAAACTCTTAGTCTCTCATTTTATTACTAGACTTGTTACATATTGCCAGTATTGCCTAAGCCTAGTGAGCCAGAAACGTGTAATCTTATTCACGACACTCATTGTGTTCTCACTCCTGACTGCGATTTTTCCCTGGTGTATCTGGTGTGACTTTGAGCTAGGGAAACTGGATTTCTGTATTAAGATCTGGAGTTCACATGGGTTTTCTGAAACTGAAGTCAGAAAGCATCTGCACCACGTGTATATGCTTCAGCGTGCCATGTATTTGTGGTCCAACAGAACAAGCAATGTAACAAACCAGACTGATTCCTAAATGAGTTTTAATTGTTAGATTGATTGCTTTGGGAAGCTTTTCACGTATTTAGAGATTTTCTTTTTCTTTTTTGGTCTGAAAGTCTTCCAACATAAACTACTTTTCTTGTGCTCTCCCCTCTACTGTTGGGTTTGTTGCACTGAGAAGGCAGAGGGCAACAACAGAAATCATCCAGGTTGTAAATCCTTTAAATTTCAGCCAGCTGATTTTTTATTGAAGAAAATGTACGTTGTTATGTTCATGAAATAATTATATGTCACAAGTCATATTTAATTTCAAGATATTTTATTTTTTCCTTCCAACTTGTGTCAGAGTAATCCCCTTTCTTGTACTGCTATCCATTCTCCTTCCTGAAGTAACCTGTGCTGTTAAAATTATTTGCCTTGGGTTTGTATATTGTCTTCTTTGTAGTATAATTCTTTTGTTGATTTACTTTCAGCAGAAATTTTTGAGGAACAGGATCTCTAAATATTTATGCAAGATGATAGATAAAGGGGGAAATAAAATAGTGTGTTTTACATAATGCAAATTACATCTGTGTGAGCTGGATAAAACTGTGTTCTCTATTTTCTTGCATGTATTTTGCTTACACAGTGAGGTTTATAGTCTTTAGATGTAAGAGTGCTCACTGCAGATTTCCATGGTGTCATACCTGATTCCATATGAGATCCTTCTAAGATGTATGAAAACAAACATTTCTGTAGCATCAATAGCTTTAATAATGCTCATACCATGTCACACCATCATGGACTTTTTCAGGTTCCTGCCAGAGGACTTTGTGGAGAGTATTTTTTGGCCAGTGATTTTGGACCTCTTGGGTGAAATAAGAGCAGGTTGCTAGTAGGAAACAGACTACAAAGGAGCCACACCTCTCGGTATGCACTTTGAGCCTAGTAACAGACACTGAATGTGTTCGTTTTATAGGAGCTGTAATTTGCTCTCCTAACACTAGATTATCAATATTCAGTCTTCCCTTCCTTGTGATCTGTACTCTGTGACCATAACATGATGATTACAGATAAGCTGGCTTGAGGTCTGATCTCCAGTGGTTGTCTCACACACAGAAGTTTTGTGGCTTTTTAATACTACCATGCTGATTGTTGAAACTGCTTTTACACATCTCTAATAGTATGGTGTCATAGTATGGTCTTGGTTAGTTCTGCCAGCTCTGGTAGGAGGCTGGACTTTATATATTTATTTTTACAATACCTAAAACCCCATAATCTTCAGACTCCCTTTTCTGTGCTACTCAAGGTTCCTCTGGGTTGGCTGGTGTGCAGCTTTTTCCTCTGGTAATACAATATTTTTTTATTAAAAAATGTGTATAAACTGCAAGGCCACATTTGTAAGAGAATTGAGGACCTGTTGCAATATTCTGATTTCTCTGTCTTCAAGAAAAATAGTTACGCTTCCATGCATTGATGCTCAAATGAGAGACTCTTAAAGAACTGTAAATGCTGTAGGGTGATAATTAGAAATGACTCAAGCAGAACGTGATTTTTCCAGGAAAACCTGAATATTAACAACTCCCTTATCATTAACTTGATATGAAATGGTTGAGTGTTATCTTCCCAGAAGACTTTGACCTACATGTTCTTTATCTTGGTATATTTTCTTTAATGGGAACAGGATGAATATTGAGGAGGCTGTACATTTCTGCCTTTAATATGCTAGAAAATGAATCTCATCATTTAGAGAGGAGATTCTATTCTTGTGCATACACCTTGTATTCTGACAGTCCAGTACTGGCAGTGATCAGATCAAGTTTCTTCCTTTTTTTTTTTTTTTCTTTCCTTTTTCTTTTTCCCCAGTGTGTTTTTTTGAGGATGGCTTGAATCACAATCCTGTACCAGTGGATGTTAATCTGCTGCACCAAAGTGTTGGCTCTTTTGAGAAATTTCTGCCTAGCTTAAGGTCAAATTGTATTTGTTATCATGCATATACGTCTCCTGAAAGGCAAATAAATATTTGCTTATTAAAACACTGCTGCTTCTACTGATCTAGTATTTTTATTTTTAATAATAATTATGTTTCTCTGGAACGTAAAAAATGGGAGAAAGGGATACCATAGTGTAGAGAGCAAGACAGAGCACCTGCAGCTTCAGGGTATGATTTTTAGAGGTTATCAGGGGTTAGAACAGTTCTGTAATGTTTGGGTAGAAAGCATTTGAAGTGCTTTAAACAGCAATGGAATACTAATCTGTTCCCTTAATATGAAGTAAAAAGTGCAGTTGGTGATTTAATGAGTGTTTCAGCAGCCTGTATATCCAGATATTAATTTTTACTCTGTACAGTTAACCC